TTTTTTTTGTTATTTAAACATATTTTGCTAGGAAAAGAGGAAGACCAGCTAATTCTTCAGAGAAATCCGCTCCAAAGAAATCAAGGAAAACTTCCCCAGACAAGGATACCAAGCGAGAAAAGAAGACTTCGGCAAAACAATTGAACATGTCAGATAAACGTAAAAATTCTCGACAAAAAAATGCTTCTCCACCGGAAAGTCCACGCTCAACAGAAAAGTCATCTTCGACAACCAAATCATCACCAAGGTGCGTGATCTTGTTTTCTCGTTTTGCTTCTGTGGTGTGTCAACAGTTCTCCCGTAGGGTTATCGAGAAGAAAAATGGCTGTGGATGGAGGAAGTGTTATCCGTAGTGGTTTTGTTGGTGTCAAATACATTTTGTGAATTTGTCGTTTTATTTGAAGCCTTGCCATGCTTTACATTGAAGAACAAGCAAAGAACTTAAAACACTTTGGAAAATTATACTTCGAAAAAAGAAAATCAGTGTTCGATATGGCCCAGCGTAACTTACACCACTAATTAAAATAAAAAAAAGTCCGTTTTAGACAACAGCTGTAGGTTATGATATTTTTTTGTCTTTTTTTCAATCGAACAGTCCCCGAAGAGGACGAGCCGCAAAGAGACTAGTGTCTGAATTAGATGCTTTACCCGAAGATGAGCCAACGCAGGACAGCGGTACCTCCAGTTTGGAGTCGCCGAAGAAGCCACTTAGTACAAGGTATAACGTGAAGGTCACTAGGCCAACGTGTTTCCCATCACAGAGTAAATGATACGGCTCATCAGAGCCGCTAAAGCTCAGAATTTCTTTTCCTTCTTTATGTGCAGACAAATATCACAGCAGAGTTCCAGGACGAAATCACGAAATGAAGTAAACGGGGTGGTAAGTATACATTAAATTCATCGTGAAAGTATTTTATCCTTTTTTTGTTAGGGACGTTCCTTCTGTTCCTCGCAGTAACGATTGTGTAGGTAAAATTTAAGGATTAAAATCCTGTTAAGTGTAACCTCAGACACTGGTTGTCTAATGCTGACAGATTTAGCGTTATCACTCGTCGAGAGGTGCTGGTTTTTCTCTTTGCTAACTTAATCTCTTGGTGATTCTACAGACAGATAAGAGTCCATCTAAAGTCAAAAGAAAGGTGCGTCTTCTTTGACTATTTGGTTGTATAACCTTTTGTTTGTCACAAATGTTTTAAAATTTACTCCATGTTATTAAAAAATGGTTTTTCACACAGAAGGACACCGAGGAATCAAATTCCAGTCCAGTTAAAAAGAGAAAAGAATCAGCGTCTCCGCCAACCAAGCGAAAAGAGCCCACTTTAGTTGTAAGTTTTGTTCTTCAACAAATACTGCATAGTTGTTGGTCTTTTTTTTCTCTTACAGTTAACTTCAAAATGAATTGTTTTAATGTGGAGTTATCATTTTTTATCCTTTTCAGGTGAAAAGAAAGATCAGCAAGAGAAGATAAAATTAAATAACCAATCGTAAACTATTTCGTTGTACATAGACATCAATTCGAGGATCTTCCGAGTTCAGTTCATCTTCACTTCCATTGTACAGCCATCGATGTTTCACCACAAGGCTCTTCAGGGCAGAGCATAACGCAACTTTTGTTACCGAACAAGCAGAGTATGAGTACTCAAATTTTGTTGAAGTTATTGAAACTAAGTGTCCGTTAGGAGACCTGATTATAAACCTGGGATGAACTGAGCTAGGTGATAACCTCAATCAGTGACATGTCCATGCAGAACGCCTGATCTTCGGCTCATTGAAGTGTTCTGGCTATGCTTTGTTTTCCTTGCGACGAATTCGTTCAGCGCTTTCATTGGTCCATTTGATTCGGAAATTTTCGGCACTTGGCCAGATGGTTACTTTGTGACATGCTGGTTTGGACAGTGAGTATGACCTGGAAAACGAGAAAACATGCGGCGAAGAACTTGGAGCCAAACATCGGGATTTGTCGATACTCCTTCGGCATGACGCGCCATTGGTCGAAGAAAGTCCATCGGCCAATTCTTAGCAGTGAAAGGAGCGTTTCGTTGAAGCGGCTGAGGAAGGGAGCATGAAATGAATGGAAAGAGAGATTTTCTCAGTTCTTTTTGACAGTTTTATCACGAACATTGTTCGGCATTTATCTTTCATCCGGTAGTTAATTATATCCATTCGCTACACATCAGCGTTCTGAATACTATTTGACAGTACGCAGTTGTATTTCATGGCAAGCTACCACTACACATTATTATGTTGCCATAGGAATAGGTTGGCTTTTGTGCTGACACCTAAGCAACCGTCTTCAAAAGAGTTAGGAATAGTGAAGATTATTAGTAAATACCTTATTTCGGCTTGGAAACCTACTCGTGAATTTATATTTTGCCCGTTCAAAAGATTTAATCTCTGAACGTCAGGAGGAAATCTGTAAAGTATAGATCACATATCCATATTTAGGTCAATCAGATTGAAGATTATGAGGCTTTACTTCGAGAGCATTTCTAATGAGACTCGAATTATCTCAGAGGTTGTCCTAGCCCCATAAACTAGAAAGAGGTTACTCGGACGTATGTTTTAGAAGTGCATTTGTACTGTTCCAACACCTATGACTTAGCACAGTGTGAAATAGCCTTACTTAGAATTTGCGTAATTTTCGCCTTGGCTTAAACCTTGAAAACCTGATTTTATCCTTTGATTAACTCGAGATTTTACCGATATTTATGCAGTGTACCTTTCAGTGAATTGTAAGATGTGTAACTTTATGCCTAATTAAAGGAATTTTAAAAGTGTCATTTGTTTTTTCCTTTATTTGGGTGTAGAGCTGCACGAGTTTGGTTTTTGCATAATGCACATGCGGTGCTTCTGATTGTACGATGATGCGAGTTGCTGACATTGAGAGATGCGCAAAACAACGGAGACTTAGCTCAAAATTTGCTCAAAATCCCTGAGTTGCCTTGATGCCGAGCTGTTTAAAAATGTAAAATTAAAGCCGACGTCGTTGATCTATCCAGGACCTCGGCGGAATCGGCTGCTGGGATCAGCCGAGTATTGTTGAGAGATCAACTTCGGCGCCATATTTACGCACATCTAACACGTCCACGTCATGCAAACGCCTCCGACATAAGTTACCAAGACGTGACGTGAGAATTCATTAGGAAGAAAAGTAAGACTTTTTTTATGTGAGCGTAGCTTCGTTATTTTGCTCTGTCAGCGAGTAACCGAGTAGTAGTACATGCGAAACGTTCCACTACTGGCGCTAGGGAACTGGCGCTGCTTTGTTGGTCATGCAGTAACACCAACTAAAACTTTTGTCATCGAAAACTTGGGTAAAATACAAGCAAAAGTTGATCAGAAACTGGTTTTTGTTGGCGTCATAGTCGAGATGATATGAGGGATATTTTTGGAAAGAATAATATAGTTATGATGAGTTATGACGTGATCGAATCAGTGAATGTGTCAATAGATCAGCAGTATCACTTTGCCTTAAAAATAACTGCAAGGAAGAGCTATAGAAGATGAACAAAATAGAAGCATGAGTTAAAAGAGCAAAAAAAAAAAGAAAAAAGTACATAAAAAGAAATATGTGTTCCCATACCGGGAGTCGAACCCGGGCCGCCTGGGTGAAAGCCAGGAATCCTAACCGCTAGACCATATGGGATTTGATGATTAAATGGGAAGAAGTTAATCAAGGAATTTTCATAAGGGGTGACGGAAAGGTTGACAAATATTTGCGTTGAAATGTTTCTAACATTAGAATGGGGAATAGGAAAATTCAGTAGGGTGATAATTGGGAAACGGAAATGGAGATTTTTTTTAAAACTTTTCTTATATGGCGCCCAATGTATATCATGTCACTATCTTAAGCTAAGCGAGTAACGAAAAGAATATCTTTGAGAATGTCAATTAATTTCAATTCCAAAGAGGGTAATTTTTTTTTGTCCGAACAAAACGATAATCACCGCTGAAAAATGTCAAATACCCCATATCAAACAATAAATCGAAAAAAAAGAGGTTTATTCTCTCATTCTTAATTTCCCACTCTTCATTTTCCCATTTCCCATTCCCCATTCTCTCAGAACTGATTTCCTTTACGAAAAGAATGCTTCTGTATTTGATGAACGGTTCCTGAGCGAACACTTTCTCGACTTAGAGTAACCACGAAGGCATCTTCTTACAATATCAGTGAACTGTCTCACTTTCAAAGTGACAAGCAGACAAAATATAAATCAGGGAACATAGTTTGATCAAAAATTAAAGTCTCAAAGCCAGAATTATAAGAAATATATTAAAGGCGGTAGGGAGAATTTATATTGAGAATTTTAGAGTGGGAGGAATCAGGAAGCGAAAAACATACTCTTGAGGTCGTGAGGGTCAACGGTTTCTCCTGAGTTCTATCAGCGCGTTATCGAAAAACCAACACAAACGAAAACTAGAAGTGAAGAAAAAGAAAGAGTAAATCTGTTCACGCAAAAAACTGCCGCAACCCATGAATGAAAAGTTACAACATTTTATATCGCGGTTCGAATGAAACGACAGCTCTCTCACAGCTTACTTAAGCTCAACACTTAACATGAACACAGCATGTTTTGCAGTAATACTAGTTACGAACTAGTTTTGACCTGTTTTAGTATGAGTGCTTGTTTTGAACCGGTATAAACAATCATGTAAACGCGCTTTCATTAAAACTTTGGACTTGAATACTTCAAGCATTTGACGGTAACACATTGGTGGCGCAATATTCATCTCATGTTTATCCGACAACAAAACGCGCTTTTAACCCTCATGATAGTTTCATTTTTTTCTGGTCTTGTGGTGTATCTTGGAAGAAAATAGTTTAAAATGGAACAAAAATGCTCTGACTTAAGTTCAACAACCGACATATCAATGAAAAATAGACCTTCTCGCGTTGCAAAATCTCGTCTTCCACATTTTCAAAAATTTTCTTTTACGGTTGGACACTTTCTCAACGATGCTGTTTTTGGAGCATGGATATCCTATTTGATAATTTTCGAAACAAAAGTTATTGGTTTGTCCAACAGAACTGCTGGCTTTCTGTGGATCATCCCCGGCTCTGTGGACGCTGTGTTATGTTTGGGTGTGGGTTACATCTGCGACAACTACAAGTTCCCTCTTCTTTCAAGATATTACGGTAAACGTAAGAGCTTTCACTTACTCGGGACAGTTCTCGTGGCGGGATTATTTCCATTTCTTATGATGCCGTGTTTTGTCTGCGGGGAGGATTCATCCGAGCAGACTATGGGCATTTACTATGGCTCGATCATGATTGTACACAACATTGGCTGGGCTTTATCTCAAGTCACTCATCTGGCGCTAATACCGGAGATTGCTAAAAGACCCAGTGAAATGGTGGAATTACACGGCTTAAGGTAGGAAAATATTGTCAATTTTCCTTTCAACTGGCATCCTTTTCAGGAGTAGTCAGAAATAGATTATACACATATTTGCCGGTAATTTGATTAGGTAACAGAATGTACCCAAATCTCACAACATCCATTACGACATGAACCAATTGTATGGCGCATCGCAAAATTTAGAGCTAAAGAAAGACCTCGTCTATCCTTTCCTTTCCTTATTTCGGCGAATTCTGATCAGATATTGAGTGAAAAGCGACTGATTTTTCGACCGCAAAAGAGACTTTTAAACATTTTCACTTTGCATTACATAAAGTAACAAACTATATCCTATGTCAGCAAAGCCGGCCTTTTGGGATTAAATTTCAAACAAACAAAAATTAAGTGAGAGACTATTTTGGACGTTGCTATAAAACTTGATTTAATCACGTTTACCCAGTACATACATACGTGTATTACTCAGATGATCGCGAACTTGAAACCCACATGGGGTTTGTTTACTTTTTGTTTTTAAGGAATTCACGCAATTGATTTTTTTCCAACTGCTACTTGGGGTTGAAACGATCATGAATATTTCCACCCGGGAAATGACTGGCTGGTTTTGCAAAACGAATTTTCGAGCAGAGGTGTTTTTCGTATACCGGGAAACCACAAATACGACACAGGAAATTATATAAACTTGGGTAGTTGAGGATTTACTTGGTGCTCATAACCTGTTTGTGTGATAACCTCATTGAAAAGTGAGGAGATTTTGTTTATTGATCACTCTCCTGGAGGTCAATGAGTTAAGACCACTTAATGGAATTCTTTGAGAGTATAGTGCACCCCCACTTATTTATTTACAAATCAAACTTTATTTTTCGCGGGAAATCCGGCCAATGTTTTTACAGTATTGTAATGACCTTCATGAATGCTCCACAGACCTCACGTATTGCAAATCAATTCGTGGAATGTTGACACTTATACCGTGTTGTAATGCCGCTACGTCATTTGCGGGCTTTCCAGTAGACTTTTAAACCTGTTTGAAAACGGATGCAACCTCCGCGACGATAAATAACTTACACAGCTGGTAAATTGATTTGATAATAAACCACACATTAGCTGCCGCCCCTCTACCCCATCCGAAAAAATTATGTCGGGTAGGGTAGACGCTGTGTCTCAACCTCCTTCACTCTTGACTCTTTGAGTCTTTAGAGTGACAAATATCTTATTTCTCCTCACACTATAACATCCAAGTCAAGCACTAAGGTCGTGAGAATACAGGAAATGATCGTCAACTGAGGAAGCTCTTCATTAATTGTTAAAATATTTATCCTCCTCTTTGAAGTATTGTTTTGATCAAAAGCATCAATCCTTAGGGGGTTAACCGAAAAAAGAGACATAACAATTACCTGTCGTGCATAAAAATGGACAAATGATAATCCTAAGTCCTTAAAAGAGTTAACCGTATTTTTTTTAAACTGTGAGAGATCAGCCGTGAACCGTAAAAAATGGTCAAATTTTTTAACCGTTTGCCGTAAAAGCCATTACCCTTGGAGACCCTCATGGAACCTTTTAGTGAACCGCGCTCAATATTAAACCATAATTTGTCAATTTTTCTTTTTGGTTTCTTTCAGATCCGGTTTTACATTTCTCAGCGGCATCTTCGTGTATGCCATCACTTGGATCGTCCTCAAAACCGATGGCGGAGATGAGAAGATTTCTTTTAGTCAGTGGAAAGACTTTATGGTGTGGTCTTAGTTAAGAAATTAAGTCACATTTTTCCCTTGTTAAAAAAACATGTGTACTTGTCTACATAAATAATAAATTAATAAATAATATGAATTGCTTGCTTTATTCTCAAAGATCATTTTAGAGACAATAGAAACCGGAGCATTTCTAAAACTAAAAAAAAAAATAAAATAAATTTGCCGGTGATGTAGAATCCAAACTCACCCTAAATCCTTTTTATTTCAGGAAATATCGGTGATTGTGGTAGGGACAGGTTGTTTTTTCTCGTTAATTTTTCACCTGGGAACCAAAGAACCTCCCACCCCTGTGGAAAACAAAAAAGGTAATTCAACGGAAAAAGGAAGTTGGTCCATTTCTCTGTCACGCAAATGTTGCGTGACAGAGAGCAGCGTTTGCGTGACAGAGAGCTGATCTTTTATCATTAATTCACATGTTTCTAATCAAGGCATGTTCCAGTTCTTCTTTGATTTTTCATCCGATCCCAATGCGATTTCGGGTTTTCGTTTTTGTGAACAGAACTTGTTCTTGGGTTGTTAGCTGTTGATGAATAGGGAATAATCAAAGAAAAATCTCAGTTCCAGATTAGCAACAAAAAAAAAAGAAGAATATTTGACGCACAATGCTCTAGTGTATTGAAAAGTAAATCGGTGAGAATCCTCTAGAATCCTTTCTTTCCGAAAGATAAAACG